CCAAGCAAACTAAATATACCTCAATAAAATTAGAAATGAGACAAAAATGTAGATTTGTACACCAATGTTCATAGTAGCAGTATTCATCATCACAAGAACATGGAAACAGCCCAAATGTCCAATTTTAACAGAGAAACATGATGGAATGCTACAAAGAACTCAGAAGTAATGATTTAAAAATTACTGCATAACTTGGGAGAGACTGAAGAGCATTATATTGAGTGAACTCTCATTCTCATAAGGACAAATAATGCATAAGATCATTACTGTATAAATAGAAAGATAACTAGTAAAGCATGTATGAGGATTCAGTGGGGAGAGTGGTCAAAACAGAGCGGTGAGGACGAGCAGGTGGGATATCATAGGGTCACACACTGGTAGGTGGAGGGAGGAGTAGGTGAAGAAAGTGGGAAAGATTCTGCGGGGATTTGAAAAGACAGAGTAATTGTGGGCATAGTTCAATAATGATTCATTTCATAAAATATAATGGGAGTGACTGTATGAAGCACAATGTGAATGAAGGATAGTTTGAAACACAATGCATATGATCTTTGTAAGCAAACCAATATATATATAAAAAAAAAAGAATAAGAGGCTGCCTATCTATATCCTGTAGAGTAGCTAGTGGATTAGAACCACTAATCTTTTGGTTAACTACACAACAGATAACACACTAGGATCATCCAAACTCCTGTCTGGAAAGATTAGTTTAGAAAATCCAGTGGAGAAATTTTGTAATTGTAATTCTGTAAACACAGGAGGTCAAGTCAAATTTGCCTTGACAATATCCAACATCTGAAATAATGGCCAATACATCACTCCTACCACTCTTCTCTGTGCAATAATGCCTACCCTAGCATGTGCCCATAGCCTTTCTCTGCAAAAAGCTGGTGCTAGCAGCACTGTCACTGCACATTGGAGTGGTCAGGCTCAGTCCTCTGTCCCTGAGCTCTGCAGGCGTGTGAATTGAGGAGATGGTTCTGCTGCTATCTGGGAGCATCCAAAAATCCAAAAAGCATCATCACTTTGGAATGAAATGCACTGAAGGACTAAATTCACTAAAGACTGAAACCAGTTTCATAGTGTAAATCATGAGATTCAGGATTATAACCACATTTGATGCAAATAATATGCATTGTTTGCAAAAAGAAAAAAAACCCCAAAACCCCAAAACACACCAACATTGTAATACCACTCCTCACTAGCTGCCTATGTGTGCAATGTGCTTTTTAAACAATATTATTTCCATGGGTCCCTTATATGCAGAATTGAGGCATACATTTCAGCACAGAAAAGGCAAAAATCCTAGGGAACTACAACAACCTCACACTATAATTCTTCCAGTTGAAATATTGAGCATATGCATATATTTTGTAAATTTCTGCCACTTAGACTCTTCAACAAATATTAAATCCACTTGTGCTTAAAGTGGTTTCAATCAACTTTACTTACTCTTCACATTACATTAACTGTTACATTAACTTCATTATCTGCATTTTAAAAACTTGTTAAAAGACATTCACCCTTTCATTTAAAAAAAGGCTAAAGAAAATCTACATAGTATGTCAAACTCCAAACCAAATGTTTTTTAACAAGCAGAATCGATAACAAAACTGTATGTAATTTGAAATACAAAAATCCTCCCAGCTTATTTGATTTAATCTCTGTTTATTTATAGAATATTCTTATTTATTCTTTTAAAAACTTCCATTTTGAAATTCAACTGCTCCTTATAAAAATTTATTATGGTTCTTTCAGAATGTATTGGTACACACACACACACAGGACACACACATACACAGAGTCAACAGCTTTAAGCAACACTGGTGTATTTATTTAAAATCTATTTCCACATGCACAACTTATACATTGTTTTTATTGTTACGTGTAGTCAAGTTGACTATGACCCATAGTGACGCTACGACTAACACAGCTGAATCTTTCCCTATTTTGCACCTGCAGTATGGTATACTGTTGTAAAGTGCCATAGAGTTGAGTAGGAAGGACCCTATGAACAACAGATGTAAATTCTGTCATATCCTGTACCATTCCTATAACTTATCACATACTCGGGCCCACTGCCACAGTCATTGTGTCAATCCACCAGGTTGAGGGTCTTTCTCTCCTTCTCCATCCCTCTACCTTTTCCTCCCCAAGGAATAGCTTCTCAAAGCAACATCCCCAAAGTAAATGAGTAAAAGATTTATCATATTTGCCTCCAAGCATCACTCTGGCTGCACTTTCTCCAAGACAAATCTTTTTGTCCTTTTGGCAGTCTATGTAATACTTTGAGCATTGCATAAAAAGTGTTAGCCTATATCATGTATCCTATACCATACTGTGTACTCTTCTCCAATATCACAACTGATCCTTTAAACGATGGTGTTGGAGAAGAACTTGTAGTATGATATAGGATACACCATATAGGCTATCAATTTTATACAATGCTTTATGCCAGAAAAAGTGTTTTGTTGAGGAAAGAATATACAGAAAATACAGATCTCCTAAAAAGGTATTACAGAAAAACTACTACCTCAATTACCAAGAGACCAGAAGAAATGGAGCATGCTTGATTACCTGTATTGAATATTAGGATCAAGAACTAAATAACTAGACTGTGATCAAAAAGACAGAAAGTGTGGGACAGAACATCAAATTCTTACCAGAACTACAGAGGCTGGGAGAACCTCTGAATCTAACCCCTCTAAATAATCTTTACACCTAGAACCAAAACTATCCCATGAAGCTACTGATAATCTAAACAGCAGCTTACTTAGCCCAATTACTAAAGAGTTCTTGCCTTGAGCATAGTTTTCTTACAAACAATTATTAATGTGAGTGTAAACTGAAAACAACTGATCTAAAGCACAGGTGAGAACTTGAAGGACAGAGAGCCTAAATTAGTGGTGACGAAACACCACGGGCAGAGATAACGAGAACAGAGACCACACATGAAGGATGGAGTCACCGTGTCACTGAGCTGTCTGTGTAGGAACTGTAAAGGAAGGTGGCGGCAGGGAAAGCATGGCTTACCTGAAGGGTCAGCACTGTAGAGGCTGGCAGCGGCTGTGATGGGTCCTGGTGGGTGGATGGCGCTGGCTGAAGACCTCTGACTTGCAATCAGAATCCTGCTCTTTGCAGATGGCAAACGGGACATGGCACCCAGTCCCAACTGGGGCTTAAGGAGCATGGCGGACCGATAGAACGTCGGAGGAACTTCGTAATGTGTGTAGGGAGGAGAGCAAAAGTCCTCTTTCCCAGGGTGATCTGTCACCTGTGAAGGGTTACCAGGAGGCCAATTAGAGCATGTCCCCTCATAGGATGAGGAGTATTAAACAGGCAGAGGGCTATGGCCACATGGTGAGGGTCCTGATACCACTTGATGGAACATCACTGATGTTCTTTAGGCTCTGTGATAACATAATCTCATAGTCCTTTGCTTTTCTCCAAGCTCTAAAACTCTCTGAACCTATACTTCACCATGAAGAAAAAATAGAAAAGCCCTCACTCTGCAAATATTTGTAATATCTTTAAAAATTCTTGGCATTTGTACAAGGAGTCAATCTGAAAGAAAAAAAAAAGTAACATGAGCAAGCAAAGAGAGAATCTGGCAAATATTCATGAGATTTTGAAGGTTTCACTAAATCTAAAGGGAGAAGGAAAAGCTCTGGTAGAATAGTGCCTTTCATGTTGGACTGCCAGCTGAAAGGTAGACAGTTCAAGTCCACCAGCTGCTTCATGAAAGAAAGATAAGCAGTTTCCGCCCATAACAATTTGTGGCTTTGGAAACCTGAGTGTGGGTCACTACTAACACAACAAAATCAACACAAAGCAAGTAAGTTTGATTTTTTTTTTAAATCATTGACATTTTTACCACATACCGAGTTACAAATAAATAACATGAAGGAAAAAAAATTGGTTAATATCTATGATTTTCTAAGTTTCATTATATGTAGGGAGAAGGAGAAGGTGTCATGCTGACTTAGTTGGTTAAGCACTGGGATGCTAACCAGAAGGTTGGAGGTCTGAACCCAGCAGCAGGGATGAACAAAGATGAGTCTGCTCCAGCTAAGATTCACAGCCTTGGAAACATGGCTTGGGCTGTGCTACTTGGCCCTAGAAGTAAGGTTGTTGTGAGTCAAAATCTACACAGTGGCAGCAAGTTTGGTTTGGTTTTTTTTTAAAAAAAAAACACACACACACACACAAAATAAGGCACAATTTTTATGGTACTTTGCCTTGTCTTACAATAATGAGCTGAACTTTGTTGTCTTTACTAAGCTCTTTAGGGAATAAAACATATATGATTGATGAGAAAGAAAAGTCAATTTGGGAAAAACAGTCACGTTAATAGGAAATACCGTTTTAAGCATCTATTAAGTATTAATCAGAGGAGCACCTGTGGCTTAGTGGTAAGGAGCTGCACTATCAACCTAAAGAAAGGCACATGGTTCAAAGCTATCAGCTGAATCCACCAGGAAAAAAGATGGCACAATCTCCACCTGTGCAGTTTACTGTCTATGAAAACCTGCTGGACGGTCAGTTGCAAGTCAGTTCTGACTTGAAGGAATATAACAGCATTAAGTGTTTTTAGAAGAAAAAAATGATATTATTAATTATCTCCAACATACTTCTAGTAAGGGGGTGTTCCCAACAATGCTTGTTCAAATTTCACTAGAAATGCAGGTCCTCTAGGGAAGAGGAATTAGTGTTGAATTTCTAGCACCTAGAACTGTGTTAGGAGGTCTGGTGGTGCAATGGTTAAGCGCGTCTCTGCCAACCTAAAGGGTGATGTCTGAACCCACCAATGATTCTGTAAGAGGAGAAAACTTAAGGACAAATACTGTATAAGACCATCATTGCAGAACGTGTACAAGGATCCAAGGCACGGAGGGGAGAACAGAGGGATGAGAAGGAGTGACTGGTGAGGAGGCTTAATTATAAGGTCGCATAATTTGATGGGAGGAGGGAGGGATGGGTAAAGGAAAGGAGAAAGATCTGGTGTGAAAAACATTGTACACAAACTTTGTAAGTAAACCAGTATAAATAAAAATTTTATAAAAAATTTAAAAAAGAGGAGAGAACTTCAGGGAGAAAAGTGCAACAATGAATGAATGGAAATCCAAAATCTCTGTAAATGTTCATTAAAATAAAGAAATAAATAATAATTTTTAAAAAAAAAAGAAGAGAGAACTTGCAATCTGTTCTCATAAAGATCATTGCTGTTGGTGGTGCAGTGAGCAGACTCCCACTCATAGGCACCCACGCACAACAGAACGAAACCATGCCCGGTCCTGTGCTTGTCTTCACAACCTCGCTGTGTATGATGCAGCCACTATGTCAACCCATCTCATCAAGGGTCTTCTTCTTTCTCACTGATCCTGTGTGTCTTACCAAGCAAGCATGATGCCTTTCAGCCTATGAAATCCTAAGAACAATTCTACTGCCATACAGGGTGCTATGAACTGGAATTAACTTGATGGCACACAACAGCAAAAGTGTATAGTCAGGTATTTCCCATGTCCTTTACCTCCTCCCCTCACTCACCAAATTATGTGACCCCATGATTTTCCCCTGCCCATTCTCATCCCTCTGCTCCCAACCCTTCCCCCCTGGAATCCTCATACACGTTTTACTAGGTATCCTTCTATTTTTACAATATATGGGAATGATTATATGAAACACAATGTATATAAATTTTGTATGCAAATAAATACAAAACAAAAGTTATAAAACAAACAGTGTTTAGCATAAAGCTGAAGCCTAAGAAACATTAAAGGAATCATGTTTCTATTCTTTCTTCCACTGAATAAGGTTACACTACTGTTATTTTCCTCCTGCAGTAACAGTTTGTATTCTAACATTTTTAATTCCAATACAACCTGCAGGCTCTTTTCCTAGAAGCAACTACACTGTACTTACAAAGCTCACATATCTGTGCCTCTTCTTCACATTAAAAATGAAAAAGGGCGGAACCAAAGAATACTTTTTTAAAAATTTTAATTAAAAAACTATGCCAAAGGCTATGCTGGAAAAGATACATCCATTAATTAATTCTGCTCTACATCACAATATATTTTATGTGTCAAACTTACATCTACTCTAGAATCATAAGCATTTAGTCAATATTTTTTTAATAGAAGCTATGAAAGCTTTGATCCAAGCTGTTCAGGAACTAAACCCCTAATCATACTCTTTTCATGCTGAAATAGATACAAAGTTCCCCTTAAAACTGACATTACTGAAACAAAAGATTAGGCCTTTAATGTTTCATCATAATTGCATTGTAAAATATGCATGAATGCTATGGTAGATAGTCTGGAATCAGGCTGAGCAAATCCATACTCCTCTGAAATAACATTCTACAGCTGCTTGCTGATAAAATTTTTACCATTCTCTGCTAACCTCTCACTATGAATTGTTGACTTTTCTGTTATACTCATATATCCTCCATTTTCAGTTTTAATTTCTAAATTGTCAGTGTGATTGTTTGTTGCTTTTAACAGAGTCTCTCAGAAAGAAATTTTTACCACTTCCAATCCACACCTATCAGGTTCTTGGGATTTGCAAGAGAGGAAGACCCTTGATGAGATGGATTAATTCAGTGACTGGGGTACTGGGGGTAGGTGTGTCAGAGACAGTAAGATCGGCACAGAATAGAGCAGGTTTAGGGCTATTGTACACAAGGTCTCTGAGTCGCAGGTGACTAGACAGCACATAACAACAACAACAATCTCCTTAAGAAAGAACCATGTTTACACAGTAGTTAAAGCACTCTGCTAGTAAAGGTTGGTGGTTCGAGCCCACTGGCCATTCTGTGGGAGGGATGGAACAGTCTGTTTCTTTTGTGGACTGAGTTATGCACTCTAAAAATATGTGCCAACTTAGCTGGGCTCTGGTGCTCCACAGTTCAGAAGTTACGTGATGATGTAATCTGCCAGATGTGTAATGATGTAATCACCACCACAATGTGACCTGCTCTGTGATCAACTAATCAGATATAAGTGTGTTAATGTGGAATGCCACACCTTTAATCCAGTCATTGTCATATAGTTCTTCCTCTCAGTGTGGCCTGAATCAACTTTTATCTTACAAGAAATAAGACGATAAAAGTGCCAAGAAATAAGAGGGTAAAAGTGCCAAGAAGAAGGAACACAGCAGTATTATCAAGAAAGAACAACTGGGAACGAACCACATCCTGTGGACCCAGGGGCCCTGTGCTTAGAACCTCCCAGATCCAAGGACACATGCCAAGACACATGGAGATCTACAAAGAATGCTGGGGCTACAGATGGTGAAAGGGGACAAGGTCCTTCCTCCTATATTATGAGATAATAGAGAGAAAGCTTTTCCTGAGACTTGGTGTGCTTCCAGAATTTGGCCTTGATGGTAGTTGTTGCTGACTGTCACTGAGTGGGGACCCACCCACAGGTGACCCTCCAGAGAATTTTCAGAGGCAGTAAATTGCACCAAAAGAGATTGTTGCCTCTCTCCCGCAGAACATCTAGTGGATTCAGACCTTTGGCACTGCAGTGTAGTTTCTTATCCCTAGGCCACCTCCTAAATTCACATACAGTATTTCTGACATAGTAGCATAACTATGTTTCTGGAAACACTACAGTCTTGGAAACCCTATCGGGTGGTTATGGTCTGTTCTAAATGATTTCTAGGAGTTGTAAGTGACTCTACAATAATAAGTTTAGGTTTTTCTGGATCATCTTAATTTACTTAGTTCCATGCAACAGAAGAGTTTTCAGGTATCAATCTCCATCATGTTGCCATTAGACAATGACTCCAACAATTTTTACTTTAGTGTCTGCTACTGTGTTGGGTAACTTGTCCCTGGTAAAATAACAAATTCCTTAAAAGGAGAAAAAGTATGCTTTATATGCCGTATTTGTGTGTATATGTGGTGAAAATATATGTAACAAACCATTTGCCAATTCAGTAATTGTTTTGTATAGCTCTGGTGGCCTACTGGTAAGAAGCTGTGCTGCTATCCCAAAGGCAAGTTGGTTTGATTCATCAACTACTCTGAGGGAGAAGGATTGACAGTCTCCTCCTGTGTGACTTACTGCCTCTGAAAATCCACTGGAGGGTCAGCTATGGGTTGGTTCTGATTCAGCAGCACACAACAACAAATAATTACATATTATAGAGAGTTCCTGTGGCCTTGTGGTAATTGCCTCATAGAGTTGTCAATCCACAAGTAAGTGGCTCAAATACAGCTGCTCCATGACAGAAAAATGAGTAATCTCTTCCTGTGATGTATAG